AGTAGACCAAATCCCCATCTCCTATTGATATTTTGTTATGGGGAAGAAACTGATGAGGCAATAGATAATTATCTACAGAGATAAATCAGGAAAAAAATATCTTACTGTAGTATTCAAAATTACAATGACATCTAGTAAGAAAAAATTAGTAAGCTGTAAAAGTGGATTACTCAGAAAGAAAATGGTGAGTGGGGCAAAGAGAAAAACTTTTATCTTTTCTTTAAAACACTTCCGTTTATTATGTTTTTTGCCATGTGTAGATATTATTTTAAAACAGTTCAAAATGGAGAGGAAGGCAGAGGAAAACAAATTAAAATAAAAGAATGCAGATGGTGTCAGGGTAACATGGTATCAATAACTCCGTCCAAGCTAACTGAGCAAGGACTCAGGATCTAGGAAATGGATCCAGCTAACATGCCTGGTGACCCAGCAGAAACACTCAGTGTTCAACCATTACTCCAGACAGGGTTCCTAATGGCCCCTGACCTGAGCCTAGAGAAACAGAAAGCAGATACATCTTGCTAGAAACACATTAAGAACAACAAGGGAAGAAAAGTCCCTAGTACTGCTGTGTTTGTAGATAAAAGCTATGTTCATTTCCTGTATAATGTACAGAAGTTCTACAATCTACAATTTTCACTAAACTGCCAAGATCATATTCTGACAAAAAATAAAAGGATACTTTAAAAATTATGAGAAATTAAATACATCTATGTTAAAGTACAGTACTCAACAAACTAGTACTGATAGTATGCAAACTTTTCAGTGCATGATACATAATGTTCACAGGTTCCCTCAAGTAGTTCCTTTCGAATAAAATAAAAATAATAAAGCAGTTTTGACTTTTAAAAATAACTTTTCTTAAAATGAATTTAGGTAAATTTCAAGTGAAAAAGAAATTAAATGCTTCATTCACAGATGCACTTTAACATAAAGACACTCTGATTCTTATTCTCAATAAATCTCAACTATATAACTCTGTCAATCAATTCGGGAAATGTCAAATAATGTAAAAATATTCTCTGTCAGTTATAAAAGTGAAAAAAATTGGCATTGCAGTATCTTTTATTAAAAATGCTGAAACACAGCACATCTCAAGGAAGATACAAGGTACAGAGGAGGTACCAGTTTTCTTTCATTTTTCAACTACCTGGGTGAATAATAAAATTAGTCATTCCTCAGTATCTATGGAGGATTGTTCCAGGACCCCCTGTGAATACCCAAATCCATGGATGCTCAAGTCCCTTATATAAAATGGCACAGTATTTGCACATAACAAATGCTCGTCCTCCTTTATATACTTTAAATCACCTCTAGATTACTTACAATACCTAATACAAATGCATATAAATAGTTGTTGTATTGTATTGTTTTCTTTATTTGTATTAGTTTTTATTGCTGTATTGTTTTTTCCCCAAATATTTTTTATCTGCAGTCAGTTGAATCCATGCATGCAGAACCCACAGACATAAAGGGACAATTATACTTGATACTGCATGTTTTAAACTATCTTGTCATATAATCTGAGACTTACTAGATATATAGTCAATGCTTCTTTGTGCAGAAGCAAAATACGTGAATTCTGGTTTTCCTACTTTTAGAATCATAACAGTCAGCCCTAAGTTGTTTCATATAATCTACTCCCAAGTACCTTTCCTTAGGCAACAGAGTCTCTGCCCTCTACCACAAACCTGTTTCCAATAGAGGAGTGATATGACTAGAAAAGAGGTACACATGATCGACCAAGGAAAAATAAAGCAAACCAGCATTGGGCATACAAATTTGTTTGAAATAAAAAAAGAAAAATCACACAAAAATCCAGAAATACTCTAAATCATGGGTGGTTCTCTTAAAAAAAATTTCTAAAGGGAATATATTTATGATTCTCTAGTCATCAACAAAAATGAAATTAAATTTAAATATTAAAAAAATAAGAGTATGTAAATTCAGTTCAAAATTAATTACCATTCCTATGACTATCAGAGTGTTGAATGATTTTTCACTGATTCACTCCAGTCCAAGCAAAGATAAAATCTTGCTTTTGGCTAAGTTCCACAAGTTCGGGTCAATAAAAATGAATTTTTAATGTACAGAAGAATCATGTCGGAACAGGCCCAACTAGAGAGCTCAAGACCTGGTACAACATAGTGTTTGGAAGACCAGAGGAATACAAGCAAAAGAAAGAAAAAAAAAATACACAGAATAAAAGAGGTGCATCTAATTAATAAAGACAAAAATAAAAGGATGTTAGAATGTCTTTGATTATTGTAGACTCAACTTGTCCCACATATCAACTAACTATATCCCTGTATCCCACATCACATTATCTACAAAAAAAGTGAACAAACTTATTACACTTTCCCAACTGTGAACAAAAGAATAAAATAACAAGTGAAGGGAAAGGGGGAATGGTGTCAGGGAGAATGGTGGCTAGCAAAGGACAGCATGCTGGCATGTGGGCGAGAGGAAGTGCTGGCAGAGGGGCTGCCATCACCACCAAACAGCTCCAACTGACAGCTCTGCTAAGTCACCCTGACATTGTCACTAAATCACCAAGTTAAAAACACAACTCTATCTAACAGTTTTCCTGGGAAGCCTATGGTAAAAACCCATAACGATGTACTCCTTGGAATATTTGAATGTATTTGTGATGCATTTTTACCTGTTTGTAGAGAATAAGACCACTTTTTCGTATTATTATATGCCTGACTCACATAGGTAAACATAGCATGTTTCTTATACACTATTACCTAAAATAAAATAATTATTAATTTAAATCTTTTCAACTGCAGATCTTTTCGATTTCAGGCTTTTTACCTTGTCTGTTACTATATCTACTTATCACTATAACATATATAACAAACAAGTGCTTAGAAGCTACTTCATACCAACTTTAAAAAGTCCTGATTAGAATTTCTTTCAAAGACATTTTTTATTGTTAACTCACATCATGTAAGATATTTACTCTAGCATAGCTAAAATAGAATTTTTAATTATATATAAAGTTCCTAACATATCATCTGCTCCCTCAATTTCCTGCCATGAAATTTCACACTCATTCTTTCCTATTATGATGACCTTTTCAAAGTCAATCCCTGGTATAATCCCCACAAAGCCTCAGTATATTATTATGGTTTTTATTTTACTTTCAACCTCTCCCTCTTTCCCATCAATTTTCAAATATTCAGTTTTCTCCTTCTTATGAAGAATTCCACATCTGTTCTTGTCACAAAATTTCCTCACCTTATAATTATACTTCAGCCAGACCCCACCAAATCTGTCCCCAACAGGTCAACTATGACTTCTCTGTTACTATAAATCCAATACATAGATATTTTCAGTCCTCATTTGTTTGGCATTGCTGCAACAAAGATGTCATTCATGGTACCCAGAATCTCCTACCCACAAGCCCGTCATGGCCTATCTAAGTCCTCCTGGCTCCTCCTTCAAGTTCCCTTCAGGCCTGACCCTTTAAGGAGAGTTCGATTACAATGCTTCCACTGTATATGCAGCTTCCTTCTTGCTAAAGCCCAAGTCCACCTGTGCCTACTTTAACAGAAGTCCTTCTTGACAGATTATGTTCTTTATAAAACCAGAGGTTATAATGATTTTACTGTGTACAGTTCACCACTATACCATCAATTCCAAAGCAAAGCACCTGGCTATAGTAAACACTCAGTAAATATATAACTGCCTGAATTATTTTCACCCAATAAACAAGCTATTACCACTATAACAGATTTATCACTACAAAATGAACTAAGTGGATGCTTTAGTTCAAATGGATATGTTCTTTCAGGACCCAGAATGCCTTGTTAGAAATTTCTAAATACATTCAACATAGTAAAGCTAATTCTCTATTCATTTAATCTAATAATGTGTAAATGACATTGTCAAGTTTATCACTGGTACTATCCAACTATTCTTATCCATATCGAATAAAAAAGGTGTTACTTTAATGATCTTAAAGATCATTATGATCTTAAAGAAAAAAATACCATAAATATTTAAATAGCATCTCTGGGATAAAAATACTTAGCCTTTATCCTACTCGGCAAAGACCTATGATATGAGAGCATATCAAAATAAAAAGTTAATTCAAACATGTATTAATGTTTTGCTCTACCTTAATACGTTAATTTTTCAGATACTAGCAACCAAGGTTTACAACATCTGTGAGTCATGCTCGCTGAATATAAGAATTTCCATAGAGAGAAAAAGGGGCTGCATTCTGAGACAGGTACAGATTTAATTTAAAACTGAGTTTGCTTGGCAAGCACACTATTTTATTTAGCTTGTATATTTATTTGTAATGGCTTTAAAGGAATGATGGAAATTACATGTAGGGATTAGAGCCTCCCCAAGGTACTGTTAGAAGTAATATAAAACCTTCATTTTGAGCAAACCAAAAATCCCTTAATAAAGTTAGAACTAAGAGCAAAAGATGCAGCAGCCATTTTTGCACTGTACATTTTATAACAATTAAAAGATGTAACACATTAAATAATCACTTAAATATTACAAAGATGATTAGTAAATAAACTGAAATCATACTTAAATTTTCCAAAAGACTTCTTATCATGATGAGCCAAACACATGAACCATCTGGATTTTAAAAACAAGTTGCAGTAATACCCTCAATATATATGAGCCAGGCAAAGTTAAGGAGGAAGAATTCCCAAGAGATGCAATGGAGACATGAACATATGAATTTATTCTTGCCTACTACTCTATAAAAATGAAATCAACCAGATTGGAAAGAACAAGAAAGAATTTCAATGAGGTGACAAGAAGAGGCAGGATTAAAAAGGATCTGATCCTTCATACCTTAAGAACTATTACTTATAATTTTATTGTACTGCTCATTTATGAACATGAATGTTAACCTAGAAAATAGCACTTTATATTAACTTTTGATGTTTGTTAACACAGAATATTACATAACTCATACATAAAAAACTGACAACACAATCAGCTTTAAAATGTTTATATTACCTTACCTTATACAACTATAATGTTTAAAAGTGCTGGCAGCTTTCTGACATTCCAGGCACAACTGAATAGCTCCTGGATAGTCTTCCTCCTTAGGATAACAACAACAGAAGTCATTAGACTAGGAACTTTCTTCTTCTTAAAGCCTCTGATAAAAACACATCTCTGTTCATACTTTAACCAAAAGTTGCAGGATCAGAAAATTTTAATTCCTCTAAAACAAAGACTAGAACACCAATGATAGATAAATAACAAAATATAAAGAGGCAACTAGTTCTAGGCCTAAAATAAATGCATAGAAAAAGTACTTAAAATATTCTGTTCACTTAAATACACAGTAACTGCTCTCTGAAACCATGACTTGCAGACAAGGCCTATATAAAATTATAAGCTGCTTCACAGGGAAGGTTTGAGCTGTTAACATATCTTCTTTCAGTGATGTTTACATAAAATGCTCCAAAACAGTATGCATTCTATTTGTAAGCAACATTCAACAGTTCTCCCATCAATAAATTAGTAAATAGTTCTAAAGAAATTAAGTGTAGAAAAGTAAAATATTAATTTATAACCTCAGAATATTTTTTATCACATAACAGTAATGTAATGCCAAATGAATTTTTCATATGGATTTCTCAAACCTTAGTTTAGTAGTAATAGTTTAGAAGTAATACAATTATACAAAAAACCACAACAAATTTTCCCTCTGCTCATACCTAAATTCAACATATGCAATTCCAACCACCTAGGATGCTGAGATAATGACAAAGTACCTACCTAAGGAGCTCAAGTATTATGAGGAAACACAGATATTCTATTACGCTTTGGTGAACTTTATGATAGAAGTAGACAGAGAATGCTAAGAAAGCATCAGAGAAAACAGATGGCTCACTCAGAAATTAATATAGGAAAACAAATATATGAAATTAATATATATACCAAATATAACTAAAATATCACCTTTCTTAAATTACTACTTTCTGTTAGATGCAAAAGATAATTTTATTGCTATTTCTGCAATACAATCAAAAGACTAAAGTTAACAATTCTAGTGTTACTACAAAGTAAATGTTTCCCAAAATAAATTTGTTTTTCTAAATTAAGTATATGTCAATAGAAAAAGAGTCTAGAGCAAGTACCTTTACATAACTAAAAATGCTCTTTATGCCATATACCAATTTGACAAAAAGGCACATCTGAGTTTTGTCCACTATAATGTTTCTATTAAGATACAGTATTATTAGATCACCAAATTTCCAAGCCTTATTAACTCACCTCTAGCATTTCACTTAACCGTACATCTGTTCTTTGCTGAAAATACAAAAATCAAAGGTAAAATCTGTTTCAACCACAAAATTAAGTTTTAATTTTTAAAAAGTGATCTGTATATACCAATGTTTTTATAGTTCTCAGAGATTTCAGAAGTCCAATCAGCAACTGACGTTTTCTCTGATTTGCAAGAAGGCCTAAACTAGCTTGAGTAAAACCTTCCTTTGCAATATTCAAGTGTCTGCAAAAATGAACAACAAATAGTTAAAATGTCCTAGTACCCACACAGAAAAATTAGGCAACTTAATGAGGTAGTGACCAGGATTACTATTAAATCTGGGTATGGTGACTACTACTATTTGACAAATTTATTCAATGGTGTTCTCAATCTAGAACAGCATTACTCAAAACATGGCAAGCAGACTAGTGCCAACCCACAAACTACTAATGGTCCATGACAAGAAAAGTACAGAAATCGAGATTCAGCATTTAAAAACAGTGCAAACGCAGACAGAATAATTTTATTCTTTGTGACTATAACAATTTAAAAAATTAAGACTGTATTGTATGTCTGGGTTTTTTAATTTCATTTTCCTAGTAACTTCTTTTTACTGCATTTTACAAAAATAATAGCCTGTGACAGACTGGAAATTTAAAAAGGAAAAGAAAAGAAATTTAAAAAGAAAAAACTGCTCCTTCACCACAAATAGTTTGAAAAGCACTTACCTAAACAATACAAAAAACAGTAATTTTTTAAATTACTCTTTTTTTAATTACTGATATTTTCCACAAACCCTCTTAGTGTAGTTACTTTCACTTAATGAATGATTTTCTAGAAACCTCAGCCATAACAAAAAATCAATTATCAATGATAGATTTCACAGCCATTCTTAAAACATTTCCCAGCTTAAAGAACAAAATATCATCAAAACCAATACCTTCTCCCATTTGTGCAGATAACAGCAGCTAACTGAAGACCTGTCTGTAACGAGGTAACTCTTTCAAGTTCCTATGGAAAGATTAGATAAGGTTATTATTGGGGCATTTTATTTTTCCTTCTCATTCGCATGATACTCTAACAAAAACTCTAGTGGGTTTCAAAGAAAAGCCTGCTTGGGAAATGAAGTAGCAACAAAAATACCTGAACTTAAAAATTGTTAGTATATTTTTCACAAAATTATTTAAAATAACTACTTTCAGTTGATTTTTACAATGACAGGTGACAAAATATTTAGTCAGTATTGCTTGTATGGAAATCTAGAGCCAACTTTTTTTAGACAGGAATAAACAAATACAAATAATATATCTGTTTAAATGTTTCTACCTCAAAGAACATCATGAGGTAATTAAGGATATGACAAATATGATTTCTGTTTACTAAGAGGCTTTGACAATGAATGCCTTCATTTGAATACTGGTACACATTTCAAAGGATTCTGAAGGCTCTGATTTTCTGATGAAAACACAGATCCAGCTAGACAGTTCCAAATGTATCATATTTTATAGCTTGACACACAGATTGTTATATTGCCATTTAATAGACATTATTGCTCATCTATGTGCTTGTTACAAAGTTTATGGAAGCAATTTCACTTGCTTTTCTAAAGCTTGAAAAAACCAAAAGATTACTTTAGAATCATATATAAAAACTTTTCACTTCTTCAGTTTGGTAAATTCCCAAATGAAAGGAAAACATATGTACATATACACCCACACACCAAATAGGGTCAATATGTTGCTATAGAACTATAAACAGAAAGAACTGCAGTACTTGAACAGTTTCAAGTTAAGTCACTCAACCATTTTTTAAATTTTACTATAAAAAATAACAAATATCATCCTACCTTTACATAAGCAGGCTGTTTTTCAAGGATTAAATCTGCTACTTTTTTAGAGACCTATAAGAACATGCAATCAAACAAAGGAAGTAAAAGAAAAAGCCTCATGCTTCCTATTACATTTTCATATTTTAAATTTTTGCAAGAATATTCCACAGGTCTTACAAATAACTTCTAGAATAGCTACTGGCATGCTATGGCCATATGCATTTCCCCAGGCTATGAAATTAATAAAATAGGTGGTATAATAAAGAACATAGCACAAGCACCTGATCCTTAATAGAAACTGAATAAATGATCATTACTGTTAATAATATAAGTATCATTATCTGATTTAACTAACATGCACAAAAGTATAACCATCTTTAAGGGTATGGGATTTGATTTAAAAAGATGAATTTATTAAGACAAAATTCTAACCAAGAGAATTTATGGAGACAATATCTGCAAAAGAGAGAACTTGTTTATACTCTACAGATTCTTTATACCACATAAGAAAAGTTGGTTTGGTCTGCTACTTCTGAAAAGCTGTAAACACATGATTTTTGGAATGCTATGATGATATCTAAGGGGTTTTTTTGGTCAATTCCAAGAATAATGCTAATGTATCCAAGTTAGAATTACAATAATTTTGAACATGGGATCCTTAATCCACAATTTCAGGGCCCCTGTCAATTACACCACAGAGATTCTACATCTAGCATAAAGCAGGACACACAGAAGGCATTTAGTGAGTGCTCAAGAAACAAAATTGGCTTCCTTTCCCCTTATCCCTGAGAATAAAACACTGCACACACACTAAACTACTGCATTAATCCTTTCACGTGTTCTTAATCTGCTTCAGACATCTTTCAAATTATGTGAATTAATTTCTAGATAGACTCATTGTTTTTGTCTGAAAAGAAGAATTCCATTAAGGTTAAGGAAATCAAACTTTAAATAGCTTTGAGACTTCAATTAATGAAGAAATATCAATGCTAACCCTAAATATCATTTTAAAAATTCCAAAGATTCCATAGGTCTAGTAATAGATTAATTACGATAATACAACCCCTATGAGAATAAGACAACTAGAAGCCATGAGTAAGAAAATGAAATTAGTAAGTTCTCACTCTGTACCATATATTTTGACATATATGAATTTGTATAAATGCACATAGACAGAAGCCCACCTAATTTTATTAAATTGGGTTAAAAAATAGACAATGTAGTCATTGTTAGTCTGTGCTATGTCAGGCAGTGTACTAAGTGCTTTTCCTACATTATCTCAATTAGGTCTCATGACAATCCATCAAGATGAGTGCCATATTTTCTCATTTTTCAGATGCGCAATCTTAAAAGTAATAGTAATTCACCCACAGTCCAACAGTTAGTAAGTTACAAGGCCAAGATTCAAGCCTAGGTTTATCAAATTCCAAAGGCCACTACGCTACACAGCCCTTGTGGTGGGGCTCATTGCCAAAAGAATACTATCACATAAAGTACACATATGAAAGAGTACTTATTTAAACACACTGAAGTCAAGAGGAGGTAAAAGATGCCACCAACCACTGAAATCTAATTTTCCAAAGGACAATACATTTTTACTACACAAACTTCTAAAGCTCAAGTCCCTGCCTTCCCCTGCCCAAGCCTGCCCTACACTACCACTGCTACCCCACCACCCACTGAGACTTCTGAGTGTAATAGAAAAGAGAAGGAATAAAAGGAATATCTTCCTTTTTTTGTCAGATTATTAAAAGTCATATTTGAAACTCAAACTGATAAATTTATTACTATTGCTTTTTCTCAGTTGAAACAGGATTTGTTTATATGTTAGTTAAAACCATAAATCTGCAAACATTATACTTTCTGTTGTTTCATTTACAGTTTTGCCTGAAAGAAATGTAGTTTGGGGTTTTTTTTACTTACTGCAGCTTGCTGTTGTTTCAATTTGTCTCTGTACTCCTCTAATTCTTGCAAATTGAGAACAGGTGGAAGCTTCTACAGAAAAAAATTCATAAGTAAAAAAAAAATTAAAATAAAAAGTAAATTCTTTTTCAGTTTCATTTACTTGGACACTTCTGACCAGTGAACTACAATCTGTGCATGCACAACAGTGTCATATCCCACTGCCCTCCATGTTTCCTGTCCTGCCCACTTTCCTCCATAGACTCCAGCCACAAAAGCCTACACATCTTTTATCATACAACCTTCTGGTTCTATCCCTCACCCAGCCTTGCTACTTCCACTGCTGCTGCTCCACCCTCCAAGAATCCCCACTACCATTGGGGTCCCTGGCCCCTAGGCCTAGAGACACTGTGTTTCCAAGACCTAAATTAGGAGAATATGAGAAAATTCCCTAACCTTAATCCCCATTCTACCAGACACAGATATATCCCTACTTGTTTACAACAGAACTCAAAACACATTTCCCTTCCAAAATATTATAAATGGTTAAGTACTACAGTGTGACAGTGACAGTTGCTGGACTACATTCTGGATTACATCAGTGTTCAGAGGGTAGTAGGGGAACTAATAAAAAATGCATATCAATGTGCATACAAGGAAAGGAAACAGACTCCAAGTCTCAGTCAACTGATTGATGAAACTTCAAAATGAATTGGGGACGGACTGACTTGGTATGCACTACATATAAAGTATGTATGCATACTGCATTTGGTTTTGTCTAAAAACAAATTTTACTATTCTGACTTTTTTTGAAGTTCCCATAAATTTTCAATGCCAGTATTATAAACAATATGGCGTAGGGATTTTTTTCATGACCAAACAATGATATAAAATACACCTTAATGATTAAAAGTCTCAGAGCTTTTCTAAACATATTTTGCCAATATAAAATACAATAGAAATAGTATACTAACACATTGGATGCTAATTAGTTGAAAACCAAAAATACGGAAATGTTTCCCTAACCAATATTCTACAGTTGCACTCAAAATTACATTTTAAAAAATATTTGCATCTTTAAACAATGTTGACAGGTCATTTAATCACAAGGCAGTAATCACAGACCTGTTCTGGTACCAAAAAAATATAAATGCACCCAAAAATTCAAATTTCACAAATTCAGTCACTGAACAAAATGGGCATTAAATATATTTTGATGAATTTTTTTTTTACCTCCAGCTCATATTTAACAATATCAAATGAGTCAGCAGAAAAATATACTTGTTCAATACTATTAATAAGTTCTTGTTCAGCTTGAGGGTCACATGGCTGTTCTCGAAGTTCCCTGAATTCCTCCTTTAAGAAAAAAAAAAAAGTCATAATTATAGTACCTGTAGCTTTTAAAATTCCATCTGCATGAAAATAAATGATCATCTATCTTAACAGTCACATATCCTCTGGGAATTGTTCTAACCAAGGATACAAACTAATAGAAACCAGGAAAATTCAAGGAAAATTAGGAAATAGCCAAACACTAAAAACTCACCTACTGGAGAAAAAAAAATAGCCAGTTTGAAATTCAGATTTTAATCTCAATTCCTTGTGTGTCAACAAGGTTGAAAAAATTTAAATGTTTAACAAAAGGGAAAAAGGTGACTACCTAACTATACACATATCAGATAGATACATCTTGCCATCTAACAACATTCTAAAATCTGCCTCACCACAGCAAACAAGGGAAAAACACCTCAGTGACTACTGGGTCACAATCAGCACTGGAATCCTGAGCAGCAGACATCCAACTCTGTTAAAATATCTAAGTGCTCAGATAAGAAACACTGGCTCCCGAAAAGGTTCAAGCAAGTTAGTTCTGTAATCCTATGAGGCTCCCTTCATAGTGTACTGATGCTGCCATGATCATGAACCTAAAATGCTGTATTTTATAAAACACTTTCTAATGATACAGAATGGGGCTTCTGTGGATTTATACAATGAAAAAGAGCTTGACAGACAAATCCCTAACCCTAATCAGCATCCTTATCCTGTGCAATTTCACTGCATAATTGGATAAACCTTTAGTTACCCGGGAAATTTTAATAATTCAAGTACCCTCTGCCCTACCACCCTATTTAATCAAGACATTATTATAGACATATAACAAATTAGCCATTTGATTTTTTATACAACTTAACCTAAAATACATTTATGTACATAAAAATGAATTATAATTTAAAATCATTTTACAGTCATTAAAATATTACTTAACAAAAATACTAATTAAATATATAAAAATTATCTGGTCAATTAAAGTATTTTATTTTCCAAATAGAAATATTCTCAATTATTTTATTACAGGGCATATTTTTCATTTATAAAAAGAGCCTTGTCTGCATAACTTTTAGAGTTTAACTTATACTTTATATTTTTAAAATCATTCACTATAAAATTATCCCCTATTAGTAAGTTCAAGCTAAAAAGAATTAGAACTAAATCTGAAACTCAAGAGAATAGTTAACTTTCAAATTTAAATGTCCAATACATTTAAAAGAGAAGACAAAGGCATATAAAAATCAAAACTACATAATCAAAAATACAGGGAAAAGACAATGTCTCTCCAGTATCAAGCTAATGTATAAAATACACTAATGAAAAAAAGCCAAAGATACGGCCATCACCAATTCAGCATGCAATTAGATACTATGAGTACAGTACGAAATGCAGGGTCCTAACAATGGGAGCTGCACACCTGTGGAGGTTTATCTACAACACATTAATTCATTTAGCACCCTGGACAGTGGTGCTGATGCACAGACTCGGATTAAACCCACACCACTTGTGGAAGGGAAAGTTCCCAACTTGCCTATCAACAGGCAAACTCCATGCATCCCATGGAAATATGAAATGACAGTGAGATATGAAATGGAAGAAGTCAGAAAAAAAATGCAGTTGATACCACTCTAGAAAAAATATCTGCAGATTACAAAAATTGCTAAGATTAAAAAATATCAGATGCAGAGCCATGCCAAAAATTCAGATAAACTGCAATGACTGAGTCCTTTCATATTAAATGTATGAATGCCAATGACATATAACACTATGCTGAGATTCTCCATATAGTATCAATAGGTTAGGTTTTAGCTGCACCTCTATTAACCTGGCAACTTAGTCTCTTCATTCTTAGCTTTTGTGTCCTGTAAAAGATATATAAATACACACACAAACCCTCTTTCAAATGGCAGAGAAACAAATATCAAAAGTTATTAAGAATGCCAAAGGGAAAACATGATTTCATTTATAAATCTCTCTCCAGTGTACATTTCAAAAATGCAATGGATCTGTAAAAAGAGCACAATCTGTATATGTATATAAAAGGTCAAATGCTATTCTTTCCTAGAAAACTAAGCAATTAATATCACAGAGAGCAGACAAACCCATATAATTTCAAAGAACTGCCGTGGAACACTTGACACTCTAAGTGTAAGAAACCTGGACTTAGGAGAGGAATAAAACCTAGAAAGGCAGAAAAAGAAATGCAGCATACAAAATAGAATTCAATCCAAAAAAAATGCCCCCGTGTAACACTATATAGCTATACAATACCCTCTCCTTTGAGACAATTTGGTAGTTCCTATGTGAAAATATACACCTGAATTCATTCAGACAAATTCCATTCAGACTAGAATCCAGACCGCCGTATTCTTTTTAGTCCCACTGCAGTGGCAGTCTGCAAGAATCGGCTTCTACCTATTCATTCTCTAAATGTTTCATCGCTATTAGAGCTGCCTGCTCAATTATACTACACACTTCTTAAGAACTAAGATTTCTCCTTATTCTCCATCATTATGCTCCTTAGTGCCAAGACACACTGTAGACAATAATCACTGATGAAACTAAAATTAATTTACACAGTCAATAGTATAAAAAAAGGAATATAGGACAAAACAAAAGGAAAAGACAATATGTTCTTGTTTTGATAGTCAAAATTTTCCACTAACTCTTAACAAAAGGTTTCTTTCTTTCTTCTAACTAGAAATAACACTAAATGTTAAATGATTTAGGAATATTTCATGCATGTAAATTAGAAAAATAAACAGAAGCAACCAGACTGCATATTCTTAACATGATTACTCTATAATTTAATATAAACTCATTTCCTAGGACTAGAGATATACAAAAATATATAATTCTTCACCTGAAACAGAATCAATTTGGCAAGCCAATACATAAGCGTGAAGCAAAATTTTACATAGACAAAATGAACAAAAAATTTCCTACAAAAAAATTAAAACGTAAAACCAGAGGAAAAAACACCAAAGAAATTCCTCATACTATATTAAAGCATGATTTAAGAAAGAAAAAGTTACAATAATATTATATATTTAAGAGATAAATTTGGTGTAAAATATTTCAGTCTTAACAAACTTTTTATATTAATAACATGGTTGAAAGAATTTATTTTTACAATAAATTTTGTGTCACATGGTAAGTAACATATTAACAAGTACATATTAATAAGTACATATTAACATTAATAGTGGTATAAATGCTCTGTAAAACTTGAAAATGCAAAAATAATTTGTCAACAGCTACAGACTATCAAATATGCCATAACCTGCTTGTTAATGGCAATCAACTCCACCTAAAATAAAGTACATCAATGTCATCCCAGAATTAGACGTGGAGAAAAACTACAATTAAAGCAATGAAAACTGCAGAGGGGGTAAGACAAAAGCACAAAAGGCAAAAATGAACAAACCAAATCTCTCTCCCATGCTATCATCAGAAACTAACCTGACTATTTTCAAAACTCTAAAACCTTACCTTTCCCAGTTAATATAATTCCATTTAACAAACAATTTTTTAAATTCCCACTATGTAAAAAATTCCCCATACTAGGTCATATGGGAATAAAAATGAGTAAAATACAGCTCTTCCCTCAAATAGTTTCCAAAGTAATAGGAATGATCAGATGAATAAGAAAAATACAATGCAAGGTAAAACTTAAAGGACGTACAAACAAAATGAAGGGTATCAAAGGATAGTGAGTTCACCTCTGACGGAAGGGAGGGCATGTGGAAACTATGAGAATAGGCTGAATTTCAAATATAAGAAATTGGGGGAATAGGGTTACAAATATAAAGCAAAGCATAAGTGAAAACATTACATCGGGAAAGCATACAACAGGTTCAAGCAATAAAGGATGGCTCACGGCAGGGTAGAAAAATGTCACAAGGGAAAGCCTGCACGTACACCAAGAGGCAATAAAATGTAACAATTGAGATTTTTAAAAATCTAATATGTTTTTATATATGTTAGAACCATATTTTCCTTTACTAAAAGTAAAGTATCTTAACACAAAGCACTGTCCCAGATGTTATATCAAACATAAATAGTCAATATTTTCTTAACATAATAAACCAAGCAAGATTTTAGGAAAGTGGCAGACAACAAAGAAGTTATCCAATATTTCAGAGGCTGTTGTTTCCAGCAGTCACACCACACCATATGGTTGCATATAATACTACCTAGCCTATTTTTCTATTTTGATCATCTCTGAGATAAAGCTACGTGAACACACACATAAAAATGTACAGCATAAATGAAACTTTATGAAAAATGAAGAAAAACAATCATGATAGAAATTTAAGTCAACATCTTTAATTTAGCCAAGCCACTTTTCCTCTCAACATAACAAAAGGTTTTATGAGAACCGGGAATTCAAATCTATAAAACAATTTGAGCCCTCAAATATGAGGTGTTATAAAACATTTCCAGTATATTTATGGTTTCTAAGGAACTAGACTATATCTTTACCAAGCAATCTCCCACTTAAGAATTCATCTCTCAAGGGAATGTATTCAAGTTTCAGAAGAAAAAAAAAAGACTGCTGATTTTGTATTTAACCACTACTTTCAAACTATCTGAAATACCACACTAATTAAAAATACCAGCCCAAGTTCAGGACTCTCAATTCTATTCACTTTTATGAGTGTAAAAAGTTAGTTATGACAGCTTAACAGTTTTCCTTACCATTATTAAACTCAAGATTCTTTTCAATTTTGAAAGTAATTTAACCTAATTTTTAAACCCGAGAACAGCTTGAAAACTCATCATCTTCAGTAGCAGACTTTTATTCAAGCAAAAAGATGAATGCAAAAATCTTCATTTGATAGATCAGGTTTCAAAACCCTACAGAAAATTTACAGAATAAAAAACAAAATGCAAATCAACTCCCCTTTCTGTACAGAGCTTATTAGACCACAGTTCACATTATATACCTGATTATATACCTAGATGGCAAAGTGCATTGTGTGGTGTGTGTGTGTGGATGTGTGTGTTTGTGTGTGTGTGTTGGGGGGAAGAGGGAGAAATTCTGACCTTGTAAAGCATGCATCTGAGTTTTCCACAACAAGTCATATCAAGGATTTTTTTGCTGTTTGCATTTTCTTCACTGGTCAACATAAAACAGCTATTCTGTTATAATAAATTCTAAAAACACAAGCCATAATCTTACCAAAGTTAACATCACATTCGAGCTCTAATTGAAAGCAAAAAATGTTTAGCTACCAAAATCTATAGAGAGCTAAAAGGAAAAACAAAACATGAAGTTTTCAATATTCAATCAGTATTACATAAGTCATAAATCACCGAGCAGAAATAGGTTTGATCTGTTTCCAAATGAAACAGGATTCAAAACCTATTTCAAGATCACAGATACCCTAAAACCATATACCACATAAGTTTATAATGAATTGCCAGATGTCTGATTATGTGGGGAAACGGCACATTTTCTTAAAATCCCACTAGAACAACAATAATAATCCATCAAAGATGGCCGGTTCATCGGTTTCTGTGTATGTGTTTTAAATAAAACATAGCTTTTAAAGCTTACCCTATTTTTCTTCAGGCTTTCAGTGCCACCTAGTGGAATACTGGTGCAGTTACAATTTGAAAGGTTTCAGCAAAATTATTAACAGAAAATTTTTATAAAAAGTAACCGTATGGCATTATTTTAATCCTGCTTTACAACACAATTAAGTGATAAAAAATAATGTATTTTAATCACTTTCTACACAATAAAAATTTACATATATTTTCTTTATGAAGAAACAGATCGTGAATAAAAACTGATTTTATTCACAAAAATTTACTGAGTTATTAACTGAAATCACAAAATTAGCAAAAATTTCATTTG